CCCCCTTCCCTTTCTCCTGCCGCCCTCTCCCCCTCTTAACATCACCTCAATTTAGGAAATTACCCCAAAAAACAGTCCTTGACTCAAAAATTTTTTATTACTCGTGTCCATTACCACGATTTTTCTTACGTATGCAATATACGTTAGAACAACTTTGCAAATCTATTTTGTCAATTCTAATAAAAAACCGAAAAACTCCGTGCCCTAAATTTTTTTGAAAAAAAAAAAAGCATTTATCTTACCATGCTTTCTTGGCTGCAATTCTTTCACTTCGCTTCAGGGGAACACTTTCTGTCTGTTGCGCACCACTCTCGGCACTCGCCTGAAGCAATGCAAAAAATGCTATAAATAGAAATAACAAGATGAATAATCATGCAGTTTAAATTAAATTGCTACAGGGAATGGATTTTTGCTCCTTGAGGTCCAAAAAAATTATCACTGCTCTCTCAGATCCATCGCTCCGTCAAAATTCAAAATAATTGGCCATGATTTAATCGGATTTATCGGATTTAATTGGATTTATTGGATTAATTGGATTTATCGGATTTAATTGGATTTATGCGTCACAACAATCTGTACCTTTTATTTTCCTTCCTTCACTACCTCATTGGATTCTGGACAGCCATCGTCCTACCCATGGTTATTCCTATTGCATTTATAGTTGGTGCGACCTTGCTGGTCGCTACCCTTCGCTGGACGGGCCGCTGTTTTTGGCCCTGGTTACCACCCTTTTGCGTTCCCTCACAGGCCCTTTGAGGCTCGTACTGCTTTTTACTTTATCACTAAAAAAAATTTTAAAGCTCTCCTTTTATGGCTTCGAGTATTTTTTGGTTCACAATCCAGCAAACTCGATGAATTAAAGATTAAAGAGAAAATAATGAAGTAGAAAAGATGAAGGGAAGAAAACGAAAAAAAAGCAAAGAAGGGGAAAGGGGTCTAAGAAAATGTTTGTAATAGGTAAGAAATGTTTCGATCCATTAAATCGTATACATTTTGCTAGATGGCCATTTCCAGTATTCGTTTCAACCCCGAGGTACTCCGTCTCCCCACACCATCTCAGCTCCTCTTCTCGACGGGGTGCCATATGCTACCAAGGGACATACGAAAAATATTAAGTTGGAAGCTGGATGGCATAATATACGAAAAAAATGCAACAATAACACTGCTTTTTGGGAACAGGAGAAAAATGCGGAAAAGATGAATACCACGGCCGGAATGGACTGGAAATTGATACAGCCCCAATTCCAAGAAGCCCTGACGGATTTCTCCGTGTGCTACGATGAAACAACAGCTAATCAAAGTACCGTAAGGAGAAAATTTCCGTAACACAGAAAGTTTTTTGAGGTGAGAGGGAGTGGGGAGGAGCAAAAGATCTGTTCATAAATAAAACTAAAGTAACTCTAAGTAGCGGTGTGTTACAACTCCATTCCTAGTTTCTGCATAATTCTAGGGTGGAAGGAGGCGGCGAATCCACCTTATTTGCTGTCAGCTTTACCTAAGCATCAGCTTCATAAATGGGGATGCCTCCCTCCTGACGATGGATTTTTGTAGGTAAATTTTCACTCGTATATGCCCAACTTTTTTTGTTTTTGCTTTTTTTTTGGTTAATACTTATAATATTTGAGAAACAGTTACAGTAAAATAACTGTGGCTAATTTATCAACAATGGCCAAATATTCACGCACAGCATCTGAATCTATAAAACTGCAAAACGTACAGTGTGTGAATGGAGATCACTGCTGAAGATTCGTCCCCCTCCTGTCCCTCCACTCTTCAACTTTCACCGTCCTACTCTTCCCCAACCCCGTCACCTCCAAATTCATGACTGCGTCCTGGGTCTGCCTATCTGATTATCGCATGATTGTAGCATGAAAGTAATATGAAGAAGGTGGAAAACAAGGCAAGAATAGAACGAATTATGTAATGCAAGATGTAGAAATATTGCTGGTGCAGGAAGAATAAGTGCAGGAAGAATAAGTA